TCGACACAAAAAACCCCCAGATACCAAGTTTGAAGTTAATACATCAATTTTTAAAATAATCGCCTACTTCTCAAAATCCGACATGTTTTTTGAGGTTAGAAAAAAATCCTGACGTGATGGAGCAAAACGGACTTCGGATTCGTATTCAGCGCGTCAAAATACATAGGGTTAGGGTATTCCGGTCAAAAGTACATGACACTTTTTTTTGTGGGGCTGTGATATCCATGGCCACACGTCGCAGAAGGTAAATTCGATGTCCCAGAACCTCAACGCTGCAAAGCATGCAAGAAACCGAAGAACTTGCCTGACATCCACTGCCGTTAATGCCGCAGAAGATTGTTAAAAACAAAATCGCGAAAAGAGACCTGCTAATAATAGAGCTCTTTAAACAGACAAGCAAGCCGCAGGTCACCTCGCAATCGTCTTCTTCACAAATTAAGAGCACAATCGAGAAGCCAGCATCACAAATTGAAGCCCAGCAACGCCACCATCATGCACAGAATCAACTTTGTAAATGCCATCGCAAAAGCAGAGAACACCGCGAAAAGAAGTATCCATAGTCAGCGACGAAACTTCTAAGCCCCGAAGCCCTATTATGCGAAAAACATCTACACTGATATTTTCAGAGATCGTTGGAAATGACTCACGATATCCTAGCAAGGTACTCTCACCATTCGATTCCGATGACAATAATTCAGAATTGTGGGAAACGCTGTGCCAAGTCTATAAATTAGGGATTAAGGAGGTTCATCCCAAAATCGATTTTCTACAGATTTTTTAAAAATTTTTAAGATGTATTATTGACATCACTTTACATGTGTTGTTCAAATTTTATTGAATTTTACCGTATCATTTTCAAGATAAAAATTGATAAAGTTTGAAGTTTTACATGGGAACAGTGAAAAAACATGAAAAATGACCATGTTTTCATTAATTAAAAAAAAAACGGTTCTACAGATTTTTTTCAAAAACTAATATGTTTAAAATTATGAGTTTTAACAGTTTTTACAAAAATATGAAATTTTTTTACCGTTTGGTTGTGAAGTAAATGTTAATCAAAGTTAGCAACTTTTGAACTTATCCCATGTAAATAAAAGAAAGTAGAGGAGAAACGGCAAATTAACCTCTAAATTGGCCAGTGGAGCTCAACTTTTATGGACTATAGCTGTCGGTTTTAAACTTACGGAAAACCCCTAATAGAATGAGTACCGCTTGAAGGGATGAACCTCCTTAAAGAAGAAGGAGAAGAAGAGTGAAAGTCGCGAAAATTCGCGAGAGACATTAACAGTGCTTAGAGACATTCTATTTTAAGCAAATATTGCTAAGTGCTGTGACGATTACCATTAATAAGTATTTTTTTAGTTTATACACATTCTTTTGTGACATTCAAAACACGAATATCCAAAAATCACAATATTTTTTAGTTTCATATACATGTCTTTCTGCGATATTCGAACACGAATTCATAAATACAATTATATTTTTATTTCAGTTTACACATTTTCTTTAGCGTAGTGCAAGTTACACGTTTCTAGAATACTAATATATTTTTGTACTACCATTTTGTAATACACTGCGATTAATGATTCATAATAAAAGATAACGTTCCTTTGTAATCAATTAACGAATTACCCCCCAAAGAGAACGAACGTTAATAAACACTAACATTTCTTTTCTTTTCAGAAACAATATTTTTATTTTATTCTCAAAGTTAAATCTAGAAGTTCTTTTAATTTCTCTAGTTGAATAACTTCAATTCTTTTATAATTATAATGGTCAAACTAAGATGAACTAACAAAAGAAATTCTTTTTATATGTTTGCTAATCATGTTCCTTTCAGCTTCGAGAGTCGAACGTAGCGGTAGCTCCGATTAAGTAGGGGGGAATGTAACGAACCGAATTAATTATTTGAATTGTCATTTCCGCTCAAAGAGATTAACGATCGATTATCGATCTCGCGATAGACGCGTATCAATGCGATATTTCTCGCAGCTGAGAGAGCAGACGACAAAACCGCGTGTTGAGAAAAACGACGCCGATCAACTTAATGGTGCGAGGTGCGTATAACAGCGGATCATTGCGAACTTTAAAAATAATTTGTCTTCGAATTGTCCATTTTGTAAATTAAAATTAAATAAATTATATGTTTTTAATATTTTCCGCGAGTTCAATCTAGTGATTTGTTTTGTGTCCCTCATGTTTATCTTTTGTTCAACAGTTTGGATTTACATCGCAGAGAGCTAACAATAGCGGTAAGTTCATCTTTTGATGACCATTCAATATTACACTGCTTATGAACATTCGTTCTTCTGCTCTCTGCCACCAGTAGTGTTGCATGTCAATCCAATAATTGCTCGATATCGACTGCATATGCTTGAATATTGATACATTTTATCAAGCCAAGAAGCGTGATTTTCTTTTGTTTATGATTGACTTTGATCGTTCGAATGTTATTTCGAAATCTCGATCAAACGTATATATTTTTTATTATAATAATAAAATACCTGTTTTTCATCGATTTTTTAAAATAAAAAAGGAAGTTAATTGTGAAAAGTAAAATGTCAGAAGATACGAACAAAACTGAAAGCAGGAAAAGAATACATGATCAGATAGATTTAGATGATGAGTAAGCAAAAGGAGCTTCTCAAAAGTATTTTATAAAAATGTTTCAATTTGAATGTCAAATTTTACATACTTTTTTCCTAATTTAATATTTTTATTAGTTTACAAATTTTAGTTTTATCAAATAGTTAACTAATTTTATTGACAATTATAAAATTATTAAAATTATTAAAATGAAAAATCTTTGACCATCAGAAAACACAAGAACAGATTGGAAAATGATTCTGTAAAATATCTTATGTGCTTGAATTCGTGGATGAGTTGTTCTCTAATGTATTATGTTAAATATTACTTCGTTGAATAAAGAAAAAATAATAAATTATTTAATTTTTATGATTTTGTATTTATTTTAATGAGAAAAGAATATTTTAAAAATTATATATAATTTTTAAAAAATTACAATATTTAAATTATACTAATAGTGATTGTTTTTAAGAGAAATTTTAGACATTAGAAATTTCAATTGCTTAAAAAATTTAAATAGGTTAGATAATAATAATAGTAATCACTCGAAATATTTTTAATTTCTTCAATAAAAACTATATATTTAATTACGATAGATAGAAAAAATATCATTTACAATAACATAGGTTATTAACCGTTCTGTATAATGTTAAATATATTTTATATAGAAATACTACAGTTCTGTATAATTTTTAAATAAATAATGAGCGTATACTATGTGCTTGACGCATCAAAAATGCACTTTAAATATGAAATGTAGGCACAAAATATTTATTATATACATAATATTTATGTATACTGTTTATTTTTGATAAGGTTACATTCTTCTGATGTCAATTTATTATTTTAATTGAATAAACAATTTCATAAACTATATTTTATTAAAGAATTTTATAAAAAATTTATAGTTTATATATAATAAATTCATTGAAATCTTCACTGCATTTCTGTATATATACATAGGTTAAGTTAAAACGGAATCAAGCAAATCTCGATCGATTTACTTAACGGAAAGCTTGTCTCTATGACACGAACCAATCAATATATTGAATAAAATTAAACAATCACCTTTCTTGAGATCGTTAATTTCTCGATTGTTTTGGTTGACATGCAACACTAGCCACCAGTATATTCGCAGCTGGAGAACTCTCATAGACTATTGTGCCTGTGTACATTGTGCTTTCCGTCGCGAGTCGAACCCGTCTTAATTCTCTTTTTTATAAAGTAAATCTCGCGTCAGGGCTGTCTTAACGTATTACCCTGTTTGAAATAAAAAGGAGCATCTTTTCTTTCTTTGACTTTTTTTATAGAACAAAAACCGTGGATATTAAATGCAAAAAACTGAAAAAAAATTTTCACGAATTTCATTAAATTTTTTAACTTAAATCGTCTTATCTTTGAACAATGTTAATGAAATCACTTGTCATTTCGTATATACACACTTATTAGGGTACATAGAATGACGATAGCATAATAAAAAATTAAAGAATTATTTATTTTTTAATAATAATTCATTATAAATAGTGAACGGTCAGTAATCCCGTTTTCTAACCTAAGACAAAAAAAGTCTATGGGGAACTTTAAAATTTTTAAAACTTTCAGTGAGACATTTGTTTATCATAATATAAGGAAGTTTTCTGGCAATTTTCAAATCGATTCATTTATAAGTTTTGAAAATATAAGTGTTTTTCCAAAAAGCGGCGACGCGCCCGCGAGACTTATTTTATTTTAATTCAAAAAGTTAAGTATTAATAACACGTTCTTTCAAGCGACTGTAAATGATTCGCTCCGCGTTGCGTCTCGCGGGCGCGTCGCCGCTTTTTGGGACAACACTTATATTTTCAAAACTTATAAATGAATCGATTTGAAAATTGCCAGAAAACTTCCTTATATTATGATAAACAAATGTCTCACTGAAAGTTTTTAAAATTTTAAAGTTCCCCATAGACTATTTTTCGTCGTAGGTTAGAAAACGGGATTACCGACCGTTCACTATTTATAATGAATTATTATTAAAAAATAAAAAAATTCTTTAATTTTTTATTAATCTAATTTCTTCTATGTACCCTAATAAGTGTGTATACGAAATGACAAGTGATTTTATTACCATTTGTCAAAGATACGACTATTTAAGTTTAAAAATTTAATGAAATTCGTGAAAATTTTTTTTCAGTTTTTTGCATTTAATATCCACGGTTTTAGTCCTATAAAAAAATGTCAAAAGGAAAAAAGATGCGCCTTTTTATATAAAACAAGGTAATACGTTTTAAATATCAAAATTTCGATTTTTCGAACATTTTGGGTCATATGACTGGCATTAGAGCATCCAGCCAAGCGGTCGGCGAGTTGTTCCTCCCGTCTCTTCAATTAAAGTTATTTTAATACTTTACTAAATTATAGGGTAGAATTTATACCTGAAAGGCCAATATGGAGCTGCACATGAAACTATTTCAGTTCTGTAAGCAGTAAATAATGCAGCTGTTCCCGATAAATCCTGATCTCTCCTGGTAACTCCATTAACCATTGGACCCTGTTTATCTGTCTTTTCCCATTTTGTAAATTCACCAGGAACAATTCTAAACACAAATTACATAGAAAATTATATAAAATTTATAATTATTTTTTATTAAGTCCAATTTGATAGAGTTCCCGGGAAATTTCAAATTCTAGGATTTGTCAATTTTAGGGAACTTCTACAGAAAAGTGATACAAAAATTAGCAAAATCAAAAAGGTCCTAATGTGTTTATCGGGTGTTCCGGTTAGTTTTGGCCAATTTCTAAGCAGAAATTATACTCAATTAGGAAACCTAAATTTCTCAAAGTGTCAATAAGGTGTCTTGGTCACTCTTGGTCAATTTCTTAAAAGTTAGCCGCAATTGACAAAATCAGGAATTCAAGTTGTCACAAAGTATCAGTAGGATACTGCAGTAGATCTGGTATTCCAAAAGATACTACAGTGTCAATCATCTGTATAAAAAAAAATTCAAAACGTGCTAAAGTGTGAATCAGAACTCTAGGTAATTTTTGGACAAGTTTTTCGGAAAGTCAACATACTTGTCAACTAGGGTGGCCCTTATTTAAATAAAATAAATATATATTCCCAGTTGAAAAAACTTGTACAGGATCGTGTACACGATCTTCTGCACGATCGTGCACCGATCTTGCACATGTTCATTCACCAGGTCATGTATAAGAGCAGCAAGTGAACATGTAAAAAGAATTGGAAAAACGATCTTGTACAAGAACATGCATATGTTTATTCATGAAAAATAAACAAATCAAATTTCCGAGTACATGCTCGGTGTAATATCAAGCGTAAGATCATGTACATCTTCTCAATTACGAGACAACTTTAAGCTAAGTGGTATTGAGGGGGAATTCCACTTTTGGTGTTAGAAAAAAATCGATTTTTTTGCATAGTTCTAAGCTAGAGGTTATTAGACATGTGTCTCATTAAATGAAAATGAGGAATCCTTTTAGTTAAGGGGTTACACCACTTTGACCGCATGAAAAAATATGCGTTTTCAAGAATTTCTTTAATAACGGAAATTTTTTTACTAAAATTCAAATACATAACGTTATTATGCTACTATTAAGCTCTAAAAAAAATATTAAAATTTTTTTTTAAATTGCCTGTTTGGCAGGTGATTTAGCGGAGCGCTCCAAAAATCAATGGTCCTGCGGTGGCCCAGATAACTCACTTTAGATTTGAGCTAAAATAAAAAACCTAAAATCATTAGTTTCTGTAGCCCAAAATCTAGAGAAATACGTGTCCGTTTTCAAAAATATGCATTTTTGACAACATGGCGTTGATTTGAATGAAAATATACGTTTTTTAGCCTAAATTTCGTTATTTAAAGATGTCCAGAAATTGTAAATATTAATATTTCAAAAAACCTCTACGTATTTCTCTAGATTTTGTGCTACAGAAACTAATGTTTTTTTATTTTAGCGCAAATCTGGAGTGAGATATCAGGGCCATCACAGGACCATTGATAATTGGAACGCTCCGCTAAATCACCTGCCAAACAGGCAATTTGAAAAAAAAATTTTAATATTTTTTTTAGAGTTTACTAGTAGCATAATAACATTATGTATTTGAATTGTAGTAAAACAATTTCCGTTCTTAAAAAAAAATACCTGAAAACTCGTATTTTTTCATGCGGTCAAATTGGTGTAACCCCTTAATGAGTAATTAAAGCGCCAATATGGTCGTGTGTTCGATTCTTCCACGAGCTTCTGAAGTAGGTGGTAGCGTTACCATTCTTTTCATAAGTTTCTCCCTTCATGTTTTATTTAATTATTTATGTTTAAACGCGTTTACCCAAATCTAATATTTTTCAAAAATTTGTTATGACTTCGACTACAAGTTTTTGGTCAATAATATTTTGTTTTAGTTTGGTTATAAATACTACATTTTTAAGCTCAAAAAAATAATCAAAAGTCTATTATTTTTAGAAAAAAGCTTCTTAACCCTTTAACGCCCAAATGAGCTGATTCTCGACTTGAATTTCAGCCTCGTACCATTAACAGAAAAAAATTTTTTAAAATATCAGACAAATTATTTCCGACTGATTTTTTATCGCTCTTTCAAATTGCGTGGTCAAAATTTTCAAAAAATAATATTTAACCCCCCTTTTTTCCAAAAAATACAAGTTTTTGTCATGTAAAATTTTTTTCAATTGCAATTCTTTCCAGTATATCATTTTTTGCTCATTCTTTAAGGTATAAAAAACGTGATTCCGATAGCTGTACTTTAAAAATATGCATTGCAACTTTTTATTTTTCTTTATTTTTAACTCAAAATGACGCCTGAAAGTAAAAAATTTTTCAAAAATAATGTTTGTAAATTTCTTTTTTTCAAATTCGCTTAAATTCGTCTGAAATTTGTTACTCGGGGGTTTTCAGGGTCGCTGATTAGGAATCCGATGTCAGTTTTCAAAAATTCAAAATGGTGATTTTAGTTTAGTATATTTTATACTTTTGTAATAAACAATATTGGACTTATTGCGAGAAGTTTTAGAAGGAATTGATTGATTAGGCAGAGAATCTGATTTTGTTTTGGGTGGCATGATGTAAAAGTAATAACAAATTATTATGTCAAAAACTATGAATTTATCTTTTAACAAGCAATAGAAATATGTGCGACAAACTTGTTCGCTTCGATCTAATTATCGAAATGTACTGTACTGCCCTAAATGCCAATATTGTTTATTACGAAAGTATAAAATATACTAAACTAAAATCACCATTTTTAATTTTTGAAAACTGACATCGGATTCGTAATCAGCGACCTAGAAAACCCCCGAGTAATGAGTTTCAAGAGAATCCGATAATTTTTTGCAAAAGTCGTCCGCCATATTGGATCCGGCATTTAGAATTTTTGAAAACCAAGTGCATATTCGTAATCAGCGACCCCAAAAACCCCCAAGTGACGAGTTTGAAGAGAATCCGATAATTTTTTGCAAAAATCGTCCGCCATATTGGATCCGCCATTTAGAATTTTTGAAAACTAAGTGCATATTTGTAATCAGCGACCCCAATAACCCCCGTGTAACGAGTTTTAAGAGAATCCGATATTTTTTTGCAAAAGTCGTCCAACATATTGGATCCGCCATTTTGAATTTTTGAAAACTGACATCGGATTCCTAATCAGCGACCCTGAAAACCCCCGAGTAACAAATTTCAGACGAATTTAAGCGAATTTGAAAAAACGAAATTTACAAACATTATTTTTGAAAAATTTTTGACATTCAGGCGCCATTTTGAGTTAAAAATAAAGAAAAATAAAAAGTTGCAATGCATATTTTTAAAGTACAGCTATCGGGATCACATTTTTTATACCTTAAAGAATGAGCAAATAATGATATACTGGAAAGAATTGCAATTGAAAAAAATTTTACATGACAAAAACTTGTATTTTTTGTGTTTTTTTGAAAAAAGGGGGGTTAAATATTATTTTTTGAAAATTTTGACCACGCAATTTGAAAGAGCGATAAAAAATCAGTCGGAAATGATTTGTCTGATATTTTAAAAAATTTTTTTCTGTTAATGGTATGAGGCTGAAATTCAAGTCGAGAATCATCTCATTTGGGCGTTAAAGGGTTAAAATAAGATATTTGAAATTTTTTTAAGATTCTCGTGTCTATAAATACAGATTGTAATAACACATAAAAGTCTTACCAAAAAGTTGGTAGCAGCATTATTGCAGGCTCGCGCTAAAGAACGCTTTAAGGTCGCGTGTGTAAATATTAATATTAATTAAAGCAATATTTTTAGAGTTTAAGTGTTAGAATAAATGGTAACAAATTGTATTTAATTATATCGTGTAGTTTATTTACAAACTTTTCCGAAAAAGAGACTAGGTTAATTAGTTTAAGGAAATTTATAAATTTAAAATATACATCGGTACCTCCATTCAAAACAAACCTATCTGTCGATGGTCGTGTAAAAGAACCGCTCTTAATTTGTCCCTCTAAAGCAACCAGGCTCCTTTTTTCTCTAACCTCGCAATATTTTTTTCAGCATTTTTTATTTACAGTATAACATTAAGAATGAAATTCATACGACATTTAAAAATTTTTTTCATTACTAGGAAGAACATTAATTTTTTTTGATTACATGATTAGTCGCGTTTAATTTACATTTGTTTTTTTATATACTTTATAACGATATCATTTAATCAATTGATTACAATCGTCGCGCGAAACTCCAAACCAACGTAAGTCGAAAAACTGAATTTTGACATTATTACTTCGTCATAACTTGTTTTTTTTTTCTAATAAAATGTTGATTAAACATTGGATTACACTTAAGCTTTGTATTACGAGAGTGATGTTTTATTTGGTGTATGTATTGTTAACGAACAAGTGAAAACTAAAAAACAATTTACACGAATGTAAATTACAAATGTGATAAAATATTAACCAAAGTCATCTATTTACTAAGTGTTATTTAGTGTCTATCGAGCATCATGAAGCACAGTAAACTAAAGATTATTAAAAACCATGCACGTACGTATTAAGGGGGCACTCGCAGTTGTAGCGCCAAAAAATAGACATTTTTCATGAACTTTTTTCTCGTAAACCATTAAGTGTTTTTAAAATATCGATTTATTAACTAAAAGTACATAATTTAAACTTGAATTTAAAAAAAAGTTAAAAATATTGAATAGTTTCAAAGTTATGTCTCCTCAAAGTGACGTCCATCTGAAAAACGAGGTTTGTGGTGACCAACACTATGGAAATCTGGTTCGTCTTAAATGAAACATTAAAACGGTTTTACATTTATTAAAAGATTATCTAGTCTTTAATCGAAGGATTTAAAAAAAATATATTTGACAAAATGGTGACCTGTCAAAGTTGGACGTTTGATTTTCTTTAAAAAAAGAGGTAGTTTTTCAGCTGTAAAAAGAAAAGTTTTGCATAAAAAAATCAATCCTTCGATTAAAGACTAGATTATTATATATTGAAAAAGTATGTTAAGTTGCAGGACAATCGGTTGAGTAGTTTTTAAGTAAGAGTGGTCACCGACTTCGAAAATGTAGTTTTGAGAAAATCGTGTTTAATTTTAACTT